CATGCTCTAAACCTCTCTGTCTTATTTGGACTTTGAGGCTCAACTTGTTCGATTACTTAGATAAAAGAGACCAGAGATATAACATACACCGGTGTTTAACCTGCGCAAATGATGCCAATTTCTAAAGAAAGGTTAACGGAGTGGGGGAACTGTGCAGAGACCCGAACTCTGTGACAAGGACCGGACTTTGTTTATTAGCATCATAATTAACTATAGATTTATTTAAAATATATGTTTAATGGTATTTTGTATTATGAAATAAAATTAACGTGATTTTTTAATATCAAACAGATGCACGACATTTTATGTAAAAAGAAGACCTTTTATAGAATATTTCGTTAGCGTTTATTTACTATGGACTTTTCAGAAATAGAATATTGTTAATAGACCAAGAAATGGTACCTTTTGAGTCAAACATTATATTTTTTATACGGCTATTACATAATATTAAAAATTTGTCAAAATGAGAAAATGCTGTTTTGTATTGTAACCTCAGCTTCTTTCTTTAGGAATATTAATTAATATAGAGGATGAGTGATTGTCGAAATAAATAATCGATCATTGAAAATAATCGATTATTTTCGATCAATCCATTGTTTTCAATCTATTTGTTTGTCGTATTTCCTTTAAAATAGACTACTTGATTATCTTTGAAAAATAATCGATTAATTAAAAAGCCAATTAACCGATAAATCAGTGTTTACAAAAAATTATCATATATTTTAAATAATCGATTATTTTCAAATAATCCATTTTTTTTCGTCCATTGAAACAGATTATTCGATAATCTTTAAAAAATCGAAAATAATCGATTAATTAAAGAGTCGATTAACTGATAAATCGATTTTCAAAAAAAACCGAATTGTCGATTATTTTAAATAATCGATTATTTTCGATCAATCGATTATTATCAATAATTTATTTTTATTGTATTTCATTTAAAATCGATAATTCGATTATCATTGAAATACCGAAAATAATCGATTAATTAAGAAGCCGATTCTACGATAAATCTATTTTCCAAAAAAATAACCGAATTATTGATTATTTTCTAATAATCCTTTTCATATTTCCTTTAAAATTGATTATTCTATTATCTTCGAAAAATCGAAAATAATCGATAAAAATTGATAAATCGAAAATAATTATTCATTATTAAAAAGCTGATTAACCGATAAATCGATATTTCTAAAAAATAACCAAAATATTGGTTATATAAAATAACCGATTATATTCGATCAATCGATTATTTTCATATACCTTTGAAAATTCGAAAATAATCGATTAATCGAAAATAATCGATTATCAATAATTTATTTTTATTATGTTTCATTTAAAATCGATGATTAGATTATCATTGAAATATTGAAAATAATGGATTAGTTAAGAAGCCGATTCTACGATTAATCTATTTTCCAAAAAAAAAAATAACCGAATTATCGATTATTTTCTAATAATCCTTTTCATATTTCCTTTAAAATTGATTTTTCTATTATCTTTGAAAAATCTAAAATAATCGATAAAAATCAATAAATCGAAAATAATTAATAATTATTAAAAAACTAATTAACCGATAAATCGATATTTCTAAAAAATAACCGATAAATCGGTATTTCTAAACAATAACCGAAATATTGGTTATATAAAATAACGAATTATATTCGATCAATCAATTATTTTCATATAATACCTTTGAAAATTTGAAAATAATCGATTAATCGAAAATCATCGATTAATCGAAAATAATCGATTAATCAAAAATAATCGATTCATTAAAACACCGATTAAACGATAAATAGATTTTTCCAAAAAATCGATTATTTTCAATCAATCGATTATTTTGAATAAATCTACTTTCTTTTTGTATTTCCTTTAAAATCGATTATTACATTATCTTGAAATTTTAAGTTATTCATCCTGTATTTTATCTAATATTCTTATAAAAATACTACTAATCAACTATGCTTCTTTACTTCTTATTTATCTACCAAAAACAGCTAAAAACCACCTTTAGTAAATATTCTTATAAAACTAATTTTTAAAAACAAAATTTCGTTAGCAACAATGTCTATTTACTTCTTATTTAAATTAAATATTTAAAATTTTATCCTTTTGTAAATTTATGTAAGTAATACGAAATCTGTTTTCTGAAATATGTATTTGATGAATATTTATTGAAACCCCTTAATGCGGATCTGATGTATTCAGCTCAAAGGAATATGGCGCTGTATGTCAAAACGTTAATAAATATTTACCGCTGAAAACAAATATATTTTTTATATTTCATAACATTGGTACTTGTATTAAAAGTATATACAATTTCTCAAGATACATCGTGGTATTTTGAGTTTAAAATTAAATAACTACAACACTTTAAATTGCTAAAACACCAACAAATAAATCAAAAAACAGCTGTCAGTGGTGACTGAACTCAGGCGGAGGTGAGCGTTGAATGGGAAATCGGAGCAATTCGGGTGGCGTCGTGCAAACAATGATTTTCAATTGGTGGGTTACTTGGAGTTAAAACAGACAACATGCGCAGTGTGCAATGTTACATCTTCGGTCTCTTTTATCTAAGTTCGATTATCATACAAAATTAAACCCCTTAAGACCAAACATATGTGATCACTATGGCGGAGGCGCTTTCGAATACATTCCAGAGTCAAGATTCAAGTACCTTCGCCAAAATTTTAAATGTGTATATACATATTGGTGGAGGAACACGCAGTCAGTCAGTTGTATATAGACATTCGAAATATACAGGGTGGCTCACGCTCAACGGGACGGAGCTTTATGGGAAAACGACCAAAGATATAAAAAATTCGTTTGGGAGGAATACGTAGGTTACAGACGGCTACAATTTAAAATTTGTTAGATGTATACAGGATGTCCCACATCCAGACATATTTATGCATAACTTTGAAAAAGACAATATCTTAGATAACAATAATTTTTACCAATCAATCAAATTTTACTATAGATATGTGGATGATATTCTAATACTATGGACTGGTAGCAAAGACTCATTGAATGATTTCTTGTCTCATGTTAACTCTCTACATACCAACATTAAGTTTACTTTAGAAACCGAAGTAGATAAATCTATAAACTTTTTAGATTTAAAAATATCCCATAACAATGACTCTAAATTAAGTTTTGATATCTATAGAAAACCCACTCATACAGGAGTAGTAATAGATAATTTGTCTAATCACCCCATCTCGCATAAATTAGCTTCCTTTAATTGTTATTTAGAACGTCTATTACGAGTACCTTTATCCATTGAAAACTACAATAGAGAACTTAACACAATAAAAAACATAGCTCATCTACACAATTATGATCACAGTTTAATCGATAAAATGTTGAGTAAAAAACAAAATAGAATTATTCAAAATACAACATTTATAACTAACCCTATACCTGTAGAGGCTAGCATTAGTAAGTATATGTCACTTACCTATATTGGAAATATTTCTTATAAAGTCTCCAATATCCTCAAAAATCACTTCAAAATTTCTTTTAAATCCTCCAACTCAATTAGTAACTTTTTCATCAAGAATAAAGATAAAGTGGACATCATGGATCAACCAGGCATATATGAACTCAGTCTTGCCCAGCCAAATATGTAGGTAGAACCTTTCGTAATTTTAGGACTAGACTTAAAGAACATTTAAGATGTTTGAATACTGCCACAACCGGCTTCTCACATTTTGCCACCCATCTAGTAGAGTCCAATCACGATTTTGACTCAGGGGATGGCTTTAGGGTACTCCATATTTGCCACAACAAGTTGATATTGAATAATTTGGAGAACCTAGAAATATTTAGATTAAGAAAAAGTAACAATGCATTATCACTAAACTCACAAGTTTTTTCCGAATCCACACCCACGTTCTCAGTTCTTTTTTAAAAATCTACGTTTCCCTTAAATTACCCCCCCCCTTTTACTTTAAAATTTCCCTATGAAATTATTAGTTATACTTATCTTATTCCTTATTTTTATTCTGTCTCTTTTTCCATTTTCATTTTTCAGCACATTACTTCAAAAAAATAATTAACCAAATCAATAGTTTTTTCTCTCTTTTCATTTTAACACCATTTCCTTTTCCGTTGATTGTTACCAACTTCTTAATTTGAATATTAGTACATCTAAAATTATTTTCCAACGCTAATGCTAGACTCTACTTTTAACAATAATAATTTATTTATTTCATTTTGTTTATTACGTACAAATTCAAACAATTCATTTTATAAACCTATATTATTATTAAGAAACATTTATTTTTTCGCCAACGCCATCTATTAGCCGATGGTCAAAATATTTAAATTTGACAACCTCTAAACTGTTATCTTAAATATTAGAATGGTTAATTCGTCTATTTATATCTTGAGGGCGTTAATCAGTTATTTAATCTAAATAAAATTTAATTCCTGTAGAATTATAAACACTTGTCCAAGAACCCATTTTAGTGCTTGTAGGGTTTTTAAAAAGTTTTTAAATTTGTTTGTCTTAATTGTTCGTCCGTTCGTGAAATATTTTAATAATTTTAATTAATAGTTTCAGACCTACTTTTGTTTATGTGTTTTGACATCAACTTTTTGTTGCAACTATTGTTTTTTTATATTTTTTTTATATTTTTTATGTATTTTAAAAAATACTCGCATACTTGTTTTTACACCGACCCTGGGATAATTCTCTTAGCTTAGTCTTAAATAGATGAGTAATTACGGGTGAGTTCTTGATATTTGACAACTTTCATATTAAAATGTTTAAACCCACTTATTAGTTATGAGCTCATTCGTTTTTCCTCTCTATTTTTAGACCTTACCTGATGATGAGGATTTGATCCTCGAAACCGGTCGTAATAAAATACTCTTGTGAGATCCTAAGGACCACCCTCGTTTGATTTACCTTTTTGAACTTATAACTCACACATGGCTACCACCTTCAACTTTAAGGTTAAGACATTCTAATAATGATACGGCCAATATAAATTCGACAATTTTTTATTGTACAAAAAACTTAATAACAATTAACACTTACACAGAACCAATACACAATAAATTATTTTTTAGCCTGGGGAAAAATCCGTGATAACTTTCTTCTAACATATATATATACAAAATTATTACAATCTACTATAGTCGCCGTACCGAAGAGATTCAGAAATCACGTGCACTTCAACCTAAAATGAGTGTCAGATTGCCGTCTGAGAATCGTCAGAAATAGATGAGGAATCAACGACTGGACAAGTGTTTTAGTTTATCGACAAACATTCACAGTATCTCCCATAATAATCTACGAAAAAACTGCTCCTGGCCAATAACCTGGTCGTCAAAGAAGAGTTCAATGACCCAGCCCTTAACGCTTGTCGATTACGCAGTTTTATTGCTGCATCTCTTCGGCGCGTCCACTAGGAAGTAACTTTATCTTAAATACCCTAATAACTAATCAAAATAAAATAGTTTACGTCTTTTTCTTACTTTTCATTTTCTTTTTTGGAGCTGACGCGTCATCGACCTTAAATAAAACAAATATTTTTAAATCTTTATTGATATTGTTGATAATCAGGTAAAAATAATAATTTATTATACAAGGGAAAAACGTATTAAAGTTTAGCTCGAGGTTGTGTAAAATAAACTATTTTTTTCTGTGACGGGAGAAACGACGATTTAATATTGAAAAAAACATTCTAAAATATCTACCTTTACTTATGTGTATATATATCCGGGAAAAAAGTACACACTTTTTTCCCGGGGAAATACTTTTCTCCCGGGAAACAGGGAAAAAAGTAATTTCATAAAAAGTGACATTTTGTTACCTGACAAGAGAGATAAAATGTCAAACTTTTTTCCCGTCACAGAAAAAAACATTTATTTAAAAATTGGAAGTATGTTCTATTCTTTAGTTTATTTGAAAATGAATGATAGCAAAATTGTATTATCCAGGAGATAAACTCCAATATAACATAATAAATCAGTGACGGAGAATTTCTAAAATAAAATGTTTATTTAGAATTATTATTTGTTCCAAAATAAAATATTTTTTCTTCCTAAAATTTTTAAAAATAAATTTATTTCAATTATTGTCCTAAATTTTCTAGTCATTTTAATCAACAAAAAAAAGGGTAAGTATGTAATTTCTACAGGTAGAAAATATTTAAGATTCTAGATCAATTTAAGTAGCCCTCAGAAAGGATTAAAATTTTTAATCGGCAGAAAGTGGCAGATTGTAAATTATTTTATTTAAGATTTACATTTCTGTTTGTATAGTCCTATGATTGTTACACGCATAATTCTTAGTTCTGTAATAATAGGCGATAAAAAGCGATATTGATCAACTAAATTTGCAATAAAAATGGCATAAACGTCTAATTATACTCCTGTGAAATTAAAGTGCAATTTAACCGTGTATATGAAAACTTTAGTGCTAAACGTACATGACGCTCTTATACATAAATATTTCAATAATACTATTCGGAGTAAAGTTTCTAACTGTTTAAATATGACCGGAGTTGGAGAAGTAACCATTTATAGCAATGAAAGGATGGAAGTATTACAGTAGCACCTAAAATGTCAACTGGGAGAAAACCCATTTAAATAGACATGTTACGAATAATGTTTAACTTATTTTAAAATTCTTATTGTAACATCCTATATTTTTTACCTTGTTTTGTTTCTAAGATCTTATGAAAAAATTTGTTTATGTTACTTACTTTTCAAAAATAATAAAATTGTCAAATATCTAATATAAGAGGGGAATATTCAGCACAGCAAGGAACAGTAAGTAATAGAAAACTTATTAGTCCTATAATTTGGAACCATATGGAAAACTTTTTATTATTGCTTTTGTGAAAAAAAAAATATTCTAAATAAGTTCTGCATAGTCCAAAACTTAAAATGTAACCATCAGATATCATTTTTGTTAAGCCGTATACGAGGTTTGTCAAAAAATATGATTTTTGCTGAAGGGTAAAGTACAAGGTCATATTATAAATGAAAAATATTTATTTAAACTCTAAATATTTGTTTTGTTACACACTAAAAACAATATCGACCAAATGGTCACCCCCAGCATTAATGCAATAATGAGCTCTTTTTAAATAATTTTTCATAACTTTCTCCAACATTTCAGGTGGTATTCTGTCCATGCCCTATTTGACGTAAAAGGAACTAAACTGAACTGTCAGTTCTGTCAGAATTTTCACTGGTGTTCATTTGGAGACTGAGGATACTTATATTTGTTTACATTTTATCAACATCTTAATTCCAAATCATTTAATAATAATAAAGCAATCAGTTATGTTCAGATATTATTGTTGGCTTAATTATTTTCTGTTGGTAAGTACAAATTTATTTACTGTAACTCGTAAAAGTTAATAACTGTATATAATTTATGTCAGGTAATGTTTACACACGAACAAAATTATTTTATATTTGTAATTGAATTCGAAAATATGAGGAACGTTTTCCAACTGAATAAATGGAATGTGTGTCATATTAGAGATGTTTTACGACAGCATGTTGGATGTATTCAGGAAGACATAAATGTAGACATTTACATATGAAAATGCCTCATAAAACTTCGAAATTTTAAAAATACACATCCCAACAACCAAATAATGATCTGGTCTGACAGTCTCGGGCCATTACGAAACATCTGCATCCATTTTTTTTTTTCCAAAGATAGATAAGCTTCCAAATAATCCCCAGGCGAAACCCATTGGGCAGAAAGGTATATGATGGAAGACCAAAATCAGGACCAGTTAAGACGCATACTCTTTCAGAAAATTCGGAAAGTTGATGTTGCTATAGTCCAAAGACTGATGGGTCATGTAAGAAACGAATTACATCCCACGGAGAAGCATGGGCCTTTATCCGTCATTTAAATCTTTAGTTTCATGTATAAGAATAAGTTTTAGTCGTTAAATGGTAAAAAAAAAAATAAAAAAAATTGACTTATTTTTTCCGAAAACTTTTAAATACGTCATTTAGTACATTATTAAAATAATACTCACATTTTCGTTAACTTTCTCTTCCTCAATTTCCGGCAGATCCGATTTAGCAGCAACCCCTCGTCTAGCTCTAACTACCGTCCTTGAAGAATTCGATACATCTAAAAAGAAAAACAAACGTTTATACCGAGTAAACGCTATCGCGTTCGATCTTTTTAAACTCACCCGATTTGTCGGAAGAAATCGAAGCGGTTCTGCTTCTAGTCCTTCTCGCGCTACTCGGAGCTTCGCTGTTCTCGCCCAACTTCTTTTTTCCGGCTCTTTTTGGAGTCGTGGAGGTTTCAGAGTGTTCCGATATTACTGAACTGGTCTCGGAATATTTTCTAGATCTCGTAGATACTCCTAATAACGTGATAAAAATTAATCAGTCAATGAAAAGAGGGGGTTAAATTGGTACCTGTTGAAACTGGGCTTTTAGTTTGACTCCTGGTCGTTCTACCGCCTCTTTTTGTTTTTAAGTGCGAGGGGGACGTCGAAATTTCAGTCGCGATTGAATTCGATCGGCTTCTTCTTCTTTTGTTCGTTTGTGAGGTCGCGCTCGTCGACGGCGAGGGTGATTCGTAGACATTTTTTTCGTCTGGGTCCGGTTTTCCTAAAATAAACGTAAGCAAGCTTAATGTTTAGGTTGTACCATGATTTATTGTTACCTAATGGAAATTCAAAAAGCGACAGTACCTTCAAACGAATCCAAGTCTAACAACTTAATAGGATCTATGTCGTCTACGTCCAATGAAATTTTAGGTCTAATCTCGTCTGTAGATGCACTAGCAACATCTTTTATGATATTCGCCTAAAAAGTATATCAATTTTATTAAGTTAAAAATATAAACAAATCAGTGTCAAACTTATACATATTTTTACTGTTTATTTAAAACTCAGAAATAATTAATTATTGTTTCTTATGGCATGAAAGTGAGGGCGAGTTAACAGCCAATTGTTTTGCCCATAGGCGCCGAATCCCCGGGGCTCTGGGTGCGTAAGCGGATTTAACCTCCTTAGATTTTTATAGGGTCACTGTTAAAAATACCTTTAAGTATCAGAATCAGGAAATGGTTCAGGTCGCCCCTGTTGAATTTACAAGAATTAACTCAGGATAAGGTTGACAAAATAAAAATAACTAACGCGGTTAGTATCCAATAGAAATACACGAATTCAAAATCGATAATAATGATTAGGCAAAAAAAGACAGTTGTAATATGTATGCCCGAAATGATAACGCGAGCCGTAACGGTTTTTAAACCATGCCGACCACTGTCACTGTAAGGAGTCCTTCAGACACGGTTTCAACCTTTTACTAAACACATCGTTTTATCTAACCTAACGCTGTAATGACGTCTAAAGTAAAATATAAATATTCTGAATAAGATGTATGTATATACTGTAAATAAAAAACGGATAATGTAGTGTGGTGTTCTTCATAAAAATAAACCGTGTTACTGCTGTGTAATCGATCGTCTAAAAATTTATACTCAGAGACCTATGGATGCATGGTAGATGGAAAACGTGAGATGAAAAACAGTCTTCTCTAGTATTATAGCCTAGTTTCAAAGGCAAAAGATTTAATATCCTGATGTCACTTAAAAACTAAAATTTATGCCGCCCAGCCAACATCACTGGAAAATCTGTGACAACGGATAATTGATGAATGGCATCAAATCACCCCACAGATGCTTCAAAATGTCCGAGCCGAGAGCGTTTTGAACAAAACCTCTTTCATTGCAAGGAGGCCCAGGGTCAGAATTTCTAGCATTTACTCGAGTAACTGATAAGAATTTGAAGAAAATAAAAATTGTTAAAATTACATGGCTAGGAAGACAATAGCGATTTAAAACTCAGGGATTATAATCTAGGTAAAAATACCTTCAAAATAAGATCATTCGACCCATCTTTCAATTTAATATTTTAGGGGTAAGTTTGACCCCCGCTAGAGGGCTTTAGTTCAGGGGGTGTAACTGGCAAAAAATATTTCACCTAAAATCAAAAATTGACGGGTCCAAGCGTTTTTCGTAAATGACTTGGGGTGTCCAAAATTGGCTCTGTTTTGTTTTCAAATGGCCACCCTGTATTTATACAATATATGTGTATTAATAAATCATCAAAAATCTCATTCTAAATTCATGATAGTTAATAAATGTTTTATATTGTGTTTCTACTTATTTCATTGGTACTCTAGCACCGCCGCATCACTGAACACCAGTGGTGGCTTATAGGGTTGGCAGATATCCCGATTTAGGCCTACCGACTATTAATACTCCCATCTGCTGACTCAATCCTCAAAACTCCAGCTATTCGACATTTGAAAATACCTTTTGTCCACGACCACTTAATAATAAATCAATATTCTACCTCCTAACTAAAAGCATATGGTACCCATATATCACTGAGTGAATTATGATAATTCACGCTTTTGTAATTCTGACATATTCCGGTAGATAACTAAAGATGGGCGATACTTTTTACAACGATATTTTCTGGATCGAAAAATCGAAAATTCGAAAAATCGAATGATCGAAAAATCGAAAAATCAAAAAATCAAAAAAATCGAAAAATCGAAAGATCGAAAAATCAAAAATAAAAAAATCGAAAGATCGAAAAATCGAAAAAACAAAAAATTGAAAAATCGAAATATCGAAAAATCGAAAAATTAAAAATCGAAAAATTGAAAAATCGAAAAATCAAAAAATCAAAAAATCAAAAAATCAAAAATCGAAAAATCGAAAATCGAAAAATCAAAAAATCGAAAAATTAAAAATCAAAAAATCGAAAAATCAAAAAATTGAAAAATCCAAAAAAATCGAAAAATCGAAATATCGAAAAATTAAAAATCGAAAAATTGAAAAATCGAAAAATGGAAAAATCAAAAAATCAAAAATCGAAAAATCCAAAAATCGAAATATCGAAAAATCGATAAATCGAAAAATCGAAAAATCAAAAAATCGAAATATCGAAAGATCGAAAAATCAAAAAATCGAAAAATTGAAAAATCCAAAAAAATCGAAAAATTGAAAAATCCAAAAAAATCGAAAAATTGAAAAATCGAAAAATTAAAAATCTAAAAATCGAAAAATCAAAAAATTGAAAAATCGAAAAATAGAAAAATCGAAAAATTGGAAAATCTAAATATCAAAAAATCAAAAATCGAAAAATCTATAAATCTAAATATCAATAAATGAAAAAATAGAAAAATCGGAAAATCAAAAAATTAAAAATCGAAAGATCGGAAAATCGAAAAATGAAAAATTGAAAAATCGAAAAATCGAAAAATGGAAAAATCGAAAAATTAAAAAATCAAAAATCCAAAAATCGAAAAATTAAAAATCGAAAGATCGAAAAATCGATAAATCGAAAAATCAAAAAATCGAAAATCGAAAATCGAAAAATCAAAAAATTGAAAAAGCGAAAAATCGAAAAATCGAAAAATTGAAAAATCTAAAAATCTAAAAATCTAAAAATCTAAAAATCTAAAAATCTAAAAATCTAAAAATCTAAAAATCTAAAAATCTAAAAATCTAAAAATCTAAAAATCTAAAAATCTAAAAATCGATAATAATAATTAGGCAAAAAAGACAGTTGGTAATATGTATGCCCGAAATGATAACGCGAGCCGTAACGGTTTTTAAATTACGCCGACCACTGTCACTGTAAGGAGTCCTTCAGACACGGTTTCAACCTTTTGCTAAACACATCGTTTTATCTAACCTAACGCTGTAATGACGTCTAAAGTAAAATATAAATATTCTGAATAAGATGTATGTATATACTGTAAATAAAAAACGGACAATGTAGTGTGGTGTTCTTCATAAAAATAAACCGTGTTACTGCTGTGTAATCGATCGTCGGGCAGTAAACTTCATCCTGCGGGAGGAAAAGTGGCACTTTCCTCCCTAGTAATACAAATAGCTATATATTGTGTTTCTACTTATTTCATTGGTACTCTAGCACCGCAGCATCACTGAATACCAGTGGTGGCTTATAGGGTTGGCAGATATCCCGATTTAGGCCTACCGACTATTAATACTACCATCTGCTGACTCAATCCTCAAAACTCCAGCTATTCGACATTTGAAAATACCTTTTGTCCACGACCACTTAATAATAAATCAATATTCTACCTCCTAACTAAAAGCATATGGTACCCATATATCACTGAGTGAATTATGATAATTCACGCTTTTGTAATTCTGACATATTCCGGTAGATAACTAAAGATGGGCGATACTTTTTACAACGATATTTTCTGGATCGAAAAATCGAAAATTCGAAAAATCGAATGATCGAAAAATCGAAAAATCAAAAAATCAAAAAAATCGAAAAATCGAAAGATCGAAAAATCAAAAATAAAAAAATCGAAAGATCGAAAAATCGAAAAAACAAAAAATTGAAAAATCGAAATATCGAAAAATCGAAAAATTAAAAATCGAAAAATTGAAAAATCGAAAAATCAAAAAATCAAAAAATCAAAAAATCAAAAATCGAAAAATCGAAAAATCGAAAATCGAAAAATCAAAAAATCGAAAAATTAAAAATCAAAAAATCGAAAAATCAAAAAATTGAAAAATCCAAAAAAATCGAAAAATCGAAATATCGAAAAATTAAAAATCGAAAAATTGAAAAATCGAAAAATGGAAAAATCAAAAAATCAAAAATCGAAAAATCCAAAAATCGAAATATCGAAAAATCGAAAAATCGAAAAATCAAAAAATCGAAATATCGAAAGATCGAAAAATCAAAAAATCGAAAAATTGAAAAATCCAAAAAAATCGAAAAATTGAAAAATCCAAAAAAATCGAAAAATTGAAAAATCGAAAAATTAAAAATCTAAAAATCGAAAAATCAAAAAATTGAAAAATCGAAAAATAGAAAAATCGAAAAATTGGAAAATCTAAATATCAAAAAATCAAAAATCGAAAAATCTATAAATCTAAATATCAATAAATGAAAAAATAGAAAAATCGGAAAATCAAAAAATTAAAAATCGAAAGATCGGAAAATCGAAAAATGAAAAATTGAAAAATCGAAAAATCGAAAAATGGAAAAATCGAAAAATTAAAAAATCAAAAATCCAAAAATCGAAAAATTAAAAATCGAAAGATCGAAAAATCGATAAATCGAAAAATCAAAAAATCGAAAATCGAAAATCGAAAAATCAAAAAATTGAAAAAGCGAAAAATCGAAAAATCGAAAAATTGAAAAATCTAAAAATCTAAAAATCTAAAAATCTAAAAATCTAAAAATCTAAAAATCTAAAAATCTAAAAATCTAAAAATCTAAAAATCTAAAAATCTATAAATCTAAATATCAATAAATGAAAAAATAGAAAAATAGAAAAATCGAAAAATCTAAACATCAAAAAATCGAACAATCGAAAAATCAAAAAATCGAAAAATTAAAAATCGAAAAATCGAAAAACTGAAAAATCGAAAAATCCAAAAATAGAAAAATCGGAAAATCGAAAAATCTAAATATCAAAAAAACAAAAATCGAAAAATAGAAAAATCGAAAAATCAAAAAATCAAAAATCGAAAATCGTAACATCGAAAAATGGAAAAGTCGAAAAACAACAGTTAGTTACCTACCTATCATGATCACCTTCTAATACGAACACTATGACCTACTAGAAATTTTTATTTAACTATAAATTTTAAATTGGCTGTAAATTCGTTTTTTGTCTCTCCTGAAAAATTGTTCATTTTGCACTTTCATATTAAGCCGACGCATAGTTTTGTCCAATAAAGTTCGTAACAATATTTAAAATAATTTCAAATTCTCACCTGTCGCCTAGTTAACCTTCGTGCAGACGTGTATGAGCTGGTGGTACTCTTCGCCTTCCTGGGCGTCTTCGCCTGCCCATCGGGAGTCTCTTCCGATATCACGGGCATGTTCGATACCGACATTCCCTTTTTTTCGCCACTCTTCTCTTTAACTTCGCTCGTCGATTCATTACGTTTGGGCGTCACCTGGCGGGAGAACGTGCGAACCATGTCGACGCTGGCACTACGTTTCCTTCGCAACGTCAAATTTACGGCAAAATTGGAACCGTCGTTGACCAATTGGGGAGAGTCGTTCGGGTCGCAATCTATTTTATCCTGAGAGATCAGTCTGCTGGTAGTAGATCTGGCGGGCGTGTCGGACGTAGAAAAACATCGGCGTGTTCGTCTGGCTGCAATTAAAGAAAAAGTGATAAATTTGCTATAGATAAAACTTAATATTTTTAAGTGTATTCTATATTTAAGAGCGATATCCATGGTTAGAAATAGACTCAAAACGACTTCAAGGTTCCCTTAATCAATTGTGAATACTTTTTTTTATAAAATTTGGTGTATCTACTAAGCAAATGATAGAGAATCCCGCTGTAGGGCCCGAATTTAGAAAAACTTACTTTTTAATTATTTCTATACAAATTATAAAAATTATTGCAAACAGGAGTCCTTAACGGGAATTGTTATATAAAAATTTGCTAGTTCTTTCTAATACACTTTTTTGTCCAAAGCGTATATTTTTTGTAAACCTTGAGTTACGAAATCTGAGAAAATGTATCCAGATTCAAATCCATATTAATTGATTTGGCAACAAGGCGGCGGACGTTGGCGATGCATGGAGTACCGAAAAATGGGATAAAATTATTTAACAGCAACAAAGTCGTCAACTTTGTCGCTTGGCGATATGTCAAAGTCAGAAGGAGAAATACAGAAAACAGAACAAATTCTACAAGTTCCGAAAGGAAGCCAGAGAGCAACAGCAAATCAAATGAAATGGGGGAGCAATCAACTAACCCAAAGTACTAATAAAAATAAAATGTGTTGATTACTGAATGATTAGTGTTACAGATGTGGAGATAAGCGACATAACACAGATTCCTGTTACCACAAGGACAAAATTTGCGATTTTTGTAAAAAAAAATGACACATTTTCAAAAGTTTGTTTACAAAAACAGAATAACAGAAATATACAACATCAAATAAGAGACCTTGTAGAAACGGGTCAATTCTGACAATAAAGAGAATGCAAAAATTAATATAATTACATCGTCCACAAATGATAAATTTATAGTAAGTCATCATTGAGGTAAGACCAACCAAAATGGATTTAGATAGAGGAGAGCTGCTTTGTCTACAATCTCGTATAGTAACTTCATCAGTTTTACAACTAACTAAACGAATTTTTAAAACAACAATTGTCTTACGTACATATATAGGGGAAAGAATTATTCCATTTGGTAAAGTATATGTCCAATATTATATTGAGAATGAAACATTCCATGGGGAACTATACAGGGTGTTTCAAAAAGGTATGTCATAAATTCTTCCACGGATAGATTACCAAAAAATATGTGGATTCGGCTATATTTACCTATATCAAAAACTGGCTCCTAACAAAGTTACAGGGCGTTAAACATTCAAAAAAACGTTTTTTTTTTGTAAAAAGTTTGCTGTTGCGAATTTTTCTTTGAAATTTTTGCCACTGCAAACTTTTTACAAAAAAAAAAAAACGTTTTTTTGAATGTTTAACGCCCTGTAACTTTGTTGTGAAAGACGTCTTATTATTAATATTATTATTATTATTACTGAATATAAGAAAAAGTATTATGGCCATCATATTTACTCACGATCTCGCTACGATCTCGCTTTTTTAATAAATAGATATAAAATGTAAAAATTTGTCGTACATAGTGTATAATATGTTGCCTAATACCTACGTCAATCAATGAAAAAAGCAGTTGATATTCAAAGTCCATGTTAACAAAAAAAAAAAAAAAAAACATGTAACTACGTACAAATAACTTCAAAATCATTTATTAAAAAGAAATATTGTATTATAGCTAATTTAAATTAGGCGAGCAACAAAGCAATCACTTAATGTTAGTTCGCGTAAAAAGTTAACTTTGCGGTTGGATTTCGAAACGCAGAAACCTACTTTGTATAATAATCGTAGAAAAACTACTATTTTCTTCACCCACATGGATATTAGCTTTTTTCTACACCTACACGGATATTAGCTAATTTACGCACATGCTATAAAACGAAAAAGTATGCCATCGATTCTACCTAGTAAAAACAATGCCAAAAAATTAAATCCACCAATCAGTTTATATTTTGGTCATCCTAATATTTTTTTTTTTAATTTTGTGACAATTTTATCAAACTAATTGTCAATATATTTTTGAATTATTGAGATTAAATATACGTAAACATGAGTTATACTTGTGTAGAATCGTTAAGTAATAGCATTTCTATCTTTATTTCGTCCACATTTACAAATAATTCTTAAATTTGAATCAAACTATATGAAACTAATTTAAATACAAGTATTAAAACTAAAATGGTAAGTGTAGCGATAAAGATGAGGACACGACTGGGGACTAATTAAATTAAATCTTTTTTAATTTTATTTTATAAATTAGTAAAAGTCATAAATTATTTTAAAATTAGTTATTTTGTCCACATCCACTCTTGTTGCACAAACTAGTATTAAATGAATTAATTGTAATACAGGTATTTTTAAATAAGTACGAAAGATTTTTACGGTTGGTTATCGACGTTATTTTGTTAAAAAAAAGTTCCTATAAAAGTAGGTCGAGATATACTTTGTTTAATTAATTATTATTATTATTATTTTTATTAATTATTTTAAAGAGTTTTAAAAAGATATTTACTCGAAATTTGGGATGTTCCGAATGTTTCTACTTACACTACCCAGACAGCACACCAAATCCTTTGGATATCTACTGAACATCTTAATATCCACTGAATGTCCAGTCCATGGTGGATATCTATTTTATATCCATGAGATGTAATTTATAGACATGCAAATGTCCATAAATAATAGTAATTATACAGCAAATTTAAAATTAATTTTTTTTAAGGTGTATTCAATATCCCATGGACATCCACTAAATATATCAAAGTCTAGGCGCCCATTAAAAAGAAAGTCATTCTTGGACTGGTTTCGTCCTTATTAAGACTAGAATTATTTCCATTTTTAAGAATAGCCCGCCTGGCTTTTATTCCACCTAGTTTCTGACCATTGATTTTGCTTGTTAAGTATAGATGGCGATATCACTTTCGCTCGTTGAATATCTACTCATGCTCAACCAGCTGTAATTGAGTTCGACCGAAATTGGTATTGCAATCAGACTCCATTAGAGACTGGAGTCGAGAATTTCTATTTATTGCAGAAGAGTCCTAATAAGAACGAAACCGGTCCAAGAATGTCACATTTTAGTTTGGAATTATTTCCTTTTTTATCTATAGGATATATCCATTGATTACTTATGAACCTCTACTAAAGATACCCATAAAATGTTTTGCTGAATATCCATAGAATATCTTCTATATCCTGGATATAGACGGACATTTGGATATCCATATTAGATCCACTGGATATCTATAAAATATCTTGTGGATATATTTATTGGATATCCACAAAATATATTCTGTGGATATCTCTGGGATGTCTTGTATTGTCTGGGAGATACCCATTAGATATTTTGCTGGATATCCACGGGATATTTCTGATATCCTGTGGATATATTGGATATCCACAAAAGATATTCTGTGGATATCTCTGGGATTTGGTGTATTGTATGGGTAGTGGCGCTCGTGCGAGAATGACACAACTTTTTTTAATAAAAAAAATAGTGCACCTCTGACTTTTTCGATCTACGTATTTTTATAAAATAACTTCGGCAAAACGAATCACAGCGACAAACACCCGGTAATTTTATTTCGGTCCAAAAAAACAACAAAATGCTTTATGTTGGACTAAAAGATGTGCAGAGGGGAAGAATTATTGCTCTCATTGAACAAGGAATGTCCCAATGAGACATAGCAGAGGTAGTAGGCGATACCCAGGGTGTTGTATAGAAAACATATGAAAGGTACTTGGAACTAGAAACTTTCAAGAACAGGCCCAAAGAAAGTCGTCAAAGAGTCACTACTGAACAGGACCGCTTTGTGTGCCAAATTGCTATTGGAAATACCAGTGTTTCTCATCCAGAGCTACAAACACATGTTAGTTACAGGTGTGAACGTTTCAGTTGAAACCCTAAGAAAAAACTTCACGCTCGAGGGTTGTACAGCAGGAGACTAAATGACTTTAAAGATGTTGTAAAAAAATATTTAGATGGTGCTGGAAGAAAAATTTCAATCTTCAAAGAGAACAGACCTGGGTACGAATGGGGAAAATTATTTTTACAAAGGCACCCAGACATTAGGCAGAAAGTTGCTCATAATATATCACGAAAACGAGCTCAAGTTAATGAGCAAATGGTTAAAGATTTTTTCGATCGTCTTAAGAAGGAGCTGGATGGTGTAAGTCCCGAAAACATTTATAACATGGATGAAACCGGATTTCACGACGATCCTGGGAAGAAGAAATTACTGTTTCGCCGCTCGACTCGTCATCCCGATTTAATTCGAAATTCTACGAAATCCTGCTACACCGTAGTATTTTGTGGTAATGCTGCCGGAGAATTTATTCCTCCATTTTTTATTTTTAAAAGTAAAAATAGTTGGTCTGATTGGTTATTTAATGCTCCAAAATTGTCTAAACTGGCTGTGTCAAAATCTGGATTGATTCTGACATTTTTGAAGAATGGCTAGAAAAACATTTTATTCCGATATTGGATAAAAAAGAAGGAAAAAAAGTACTTCTATGTGACAATCTAAGTGCCCCATCTAAGTCTCAAGGCTTTGAGACTCTGCGAAGAACACAATATTCGATTTATTTGTCTAATTCCAAACTCCACACATCTTTTACAGCCTTTAGATGTTGGATATTTTGCATCTTTAAAAAGCTCATGGAGATCTATACTAAATAAGTGGCGTCAAACAGTACGGGGAAGAAAAGTGGCAGCTCTTCCTAAAAATATGTTTGCTCAACTCGTTAACGAAACTCTTAAAATGGGACAAGCAACAGCAGGACCTAATTTAATTACTGGTTTCCGAAAAACTGGAATTTATCCACTTTCAAGCATGGAGGTTTTACAAATTTTACCTTCGTATGCAAACAACAATATACAAGAAAATATTGGAACAACGTTTAAGGAATATTTGAAAGAATTAAGGGACACCGACTTAAACATTAGAACAGCTAAGAAATTTCAACTGCCTGTTGTAGCAGGCAAAGCAGTTTTAGCTGAAGAAGTGGAAAACTTTTATAAAGCCAAAGAAGAAGAACTTCGAAAAAAAAAAAAAAAATCCAAGTAAAAGAGGAAGACCACTGGGCTCTACAAATAAAACAAAAAAGAAAAAACCTGCTAACAATTCAAAATCTGCAGTTACTTCCGAGCTGGAAAATATACAAGAAGACGATTTGCCCCACCCCACAGCAGTTACTTCTGGGCAAGAAATGTCCACACAAAAAGACAATTTAAACAAGTCTCAAGAAAATTGTATGTCTATTAATCAGCCTGTGAAACCTTTAAACCAAGAAATTGTAGATGAAGATGAACTAAATATACTTTCAAATAATTAAGATGAGGGAAAACGGTTTAAACGAAAAAAACCAATGGCCCAAAGAAATAAAGCAAAAATCGCACAAATAGAAGAAGAGCCAGAATTAGACTCAGATCCAGAGCAGCCTATTGTGATTACAGTACAAGCTCAAGTACATGCTACTACTGATAAATGTCATGATGCAGAAGAAATGGAAAACATGAACCAATCTCCAAATATTCCGATTTTCAATCAGACAGTCGAGATTTCTCAGGAAATTCCATTAATTTATTCCGTTGGTGAATATACTCCAAGTCATGAAAAGGAACCATCAGTAATCTCTTGCACTGACATCAATGTTTATAATAGTGATGAAAATATTCTAGGGGAATATATTGTTCATGACAAAGGAAAACTGATTCAGGTGAAAAGACCAGATGAGACTTATATAGCTGGTCAATTTTGTATCATTAAAAATGAAGATACCCTGTATACAGGGCGAATACAAAATGTTAAGAAAACACATGGATCGTTTACTGTATGGGTTAATTTACTTGTCAAAAACTTCAAAGGAGGCTGGATATGGCCAATAAAAAAAGATGTGATAAAGATTACTGAAGTTAAAAATATAATTAAAGTGTTAGACCACAATAAAATTAGCCAAAAACAGGATATATTAAATATTGATGACGATTTTTTAAATATAGAGTGGGGGGACTAAAATTTTTTTGTAGTACATAAGTCACTTAAAAGAATAAAGAATTTTTTGCAATGAACAATAACGTGATTTTATTTACTGTTAACGTCTAAAAACGAAAGATATCGTATAATTTACAATAGGGCCCACAGATAATTACAACTTCAACCTAGTCTGTAAAAAAAATAAAAACTTAACTACAAAAAAAATTATAACTAATACCTGACCTGGGGTCTCTAGATTAAAAATAATATGGCGTAATCTTACCTGGAGCCTTTAAATTGTAAGAAATCAGTAATTTCTCACGATGAAAATACTTTGGTCAATGTTACCCCAAATCCAAAAATATATTTTTTTTATATTTACAATAAATTTTAATTTTTTTAATTTTAAAATTCATATAGACCATTTTACAGGAACACCAGTAGGTGCATTATTCAATATAATTGTGCAACAATAACAAATAAATTCAGATTTATAATAAAAACCTGGTCCAAAGTTACCCGATTTGACTGTACATCAATAATCCGGTCAAGCCGACGACTCCAAAACAGAGATTGTATACACATGCAGACAACTATCGCCTCCTGTGTACACGAGGTTCGCTTATATACAATATCATGGATCTCAGAGGGGGAGCGTAAAAATGAAGTATATAATTGTAACAACCTTTTTAAAACAAAGAACGGATATGGGGACTGACTTATATCAATGAAAAGGCCAGAATACAAGCTTTACTTTGATCTAGTTATTAATCCTCAAAAAATAAAGAGCGGGGAACAAGAAATGGTTAAACAAAAAAAGGCCGGTTTTCACTCCTGTGATCAATTTACCCCATTTCTTGAAAATTATTAGACTCTATTAAAAATAAAAAAATATATTCGAAAAGTAGACCATCTAAGCTTTAAAATTATGTGCATTGGAAATCAATATAACGGATCATAAGATTATAATTCGCGCTTGTTCCGAAGATTCTATGGAACTCCGAAATCGGCTAAAACATGTAAATAAACAAATCAATTTTATATTAAAACGCAAGAACAGTATTACAAAAAAAAATTCTGAGATTATTCAAGACCCCCCAAGGTCCCATTATAAAGGCAAAATTAGAATAAATGACTATTTTTAAAGAAAATATGAATAAATTAATGAAGCAGTCTCTAAATATTGTTGAAAAAAACTGACCGTTTTTTTAAATATTTTTGGCAAATACTAACTGACTTCAAGTCACATGGAATGGTAGCTACGGGTTTTCCCATTGCGATGAACTTTGAATCATCGAAAAATTTGTAAAGCAATTCGCAATTGAAAATGAAGAATTAATAATCTGCAAAGTTAACGATATTATTTTATGAAATATGCCCCAGGTTATACCTTTAAAAAATATTTTAAACGAGAAAAACAAAAAAAAATATTGCTTGTAAAACCGGACCTGCGATTTATCGGCGTTTTGAATCTTTTAAATCATCTAAGTAATAAATTGAAGGGAGCGTAAGTCTGGGAACAGAGCAACGTTGCCAAAGTGTGCAGATGCACTGAAAGTTGTCAATGCGTTCTCAAACCGAATTTGCTGTTAGGTGCCGCATGGATATCGCTCTTAAGTAATCAAGTATTTTGACATTTCGTATGATAGCATTTCCAGTAGTATTCAAGATTGATAAAAAAAAATACAAACCTGAAACCAGCTCTTTTTTCTTATCCACAACGATCTTAGCACTTTTATCATCGATATTCGCCAATTGAGTAGGCGCATCGTCCTGCCTCGTCCTCATCTTCGCCGCGGGAGTTTCCTCCTTTTTATCCTTATCGGATGTATGAACTTGAACCGTCACCACTTCCTTTCTGAACGTTTCCCCTTCTGTGGTATCTGAAGACGAGGTCGTATGATCATCGGCGAAATGTCGTTTGCCGCCTTTTGAAAGATTGACTTTTCGTTCCATTATCGGTTCGATGTCCGTTTCTAGAATGGTATCTGTACTAATAACAGCCGATTCGAATAGGTTAACTGGTTGTAAAATTGCGCCATCTTCGTTAACCGTTGGTTCTTCTGCTTTTGATAGTTTTTTTTCGCTCTCCAACGTAATTGCGGGTTGATTTAAAGTATCTTCCGGTTTTTTAACATCTTCTATCTTTTTTGAGGTTTCTTTTTCTATTTCGGGATCTAAGATTTTTAATTTTTCTGTTGTCGATGTTTCTACTTCTTCTCTTTCGCAATCTTCAGATGTGTTCCTCTCTGAGGTTTCTAATTTTTGTGTTTCTGGCCCCGCAGATGTTTTAACATCTTTTTCAGTTGCATCTTCAATTCGTTCAGTCTTTAAATCATCTACTTGATTCGTATTTGTAACGATATCTTCGATTTTCTCTCCAGTTACATCTGGAATTCGTTCAGTCTCTAAATGATCTACTAGAGTCGTATTTGTAGCAATATCTACAATTTTCGCACCTTCAGAAATATCGTTCTTTTCGCTTTCATCAATTATGAGTTTTCCTTCCTCGGAAGGAGATTTTTCTTCAGATGCGTCATTCGAATTATCATTAAATTCAACTTGATTTTCTTCTGTTGTATTGCTATAACCGGAATTACTTTCGCTTTTGGAGCTAGACGAATCGCTGTAATCTGAAGAGCTTTTTTCGTCGTCACTAATTATAACGACGACGTCATTTTCAACGGTTTCGGGCGTGACCAAAGAATCGGCAATGAAACCCTTTTCTATGTCGGGTACGTCACAACTATCGCTCTCCGGATCCATGGAGTACATTGTATCTCGTCTGGTTTCCTCTTCCAATCCGAAAATGTTCATTTCCAATTCATTATACGATCTTTCTTCTTCCTCCTCGGATAGTTCCTTGTAATCTTCGTTGACGTCGTAAATGTCTTCGTAGACGTCTTTGGAAGGTAGCTCGGCATCGTCTTGGAAAGGAGGGACATTTTGGTTGACTCGCGATTGAACTGGAATTAATGTTGCGAAAACCGATTCTTCGATTGGTTCAGTAATAATACACTCGCTTAAAGGATCGGCGTTTTTTACAATATTAACTTCTTGCACATCTTCTTGAGAAACTATTTGAACGTCTTCCACTATTTCTATTTCATTTTCTTCGTGGTTTTGTTCCAGTTCTTGCGTTTCTTCTGTTTGACGTTGCGATTCTTCTTCTTCTTCTTCTTCTTTCAATGCAATATCGGATATTTCCTTTTCTTTGGGATCTTCTTCTTTTAATGCAATATCGAAACTTTCACTTTCTTCGTGAGCTTCTGTTTTAACAGTTTCATCCTCATCAAAATCTAATTGAATTTTAGTTAGTCTTTTATCGGTTGTAATCGGTTCGTTGTTCTTCTTATAGCTGTCATATTCTTGCGAATAATCAGATAAATCTGTTTCGTCTTGCTCGTATTCGAAACTAAAAGAAGAATCTGAAAATGTAGAATCTGTAAACGTAGTACTCTCCAGGTTCTGTTTCTTCGTAACATAACCGCTAACCGAATGGGACTTTGTTGTTTGCGAATCTTTTTCAAACGATTCTTTATCGACAATTTGAATATTAGAGTTCACGCTGGTCACTTTCGATTTTTCCGGCGAAATTTCCGTAACGGTAATATTTTCGGTTTTCGTAAAGGATACTTCTTTCGAAGTTACAGATTCCTTTCGGAAGGAGTCGAATCTTTTCGAGAAAGTGTTGTGTTCGAGAACTTGACGACTTAGAGACTTTCTTCCTTTGATTTTCGGTGCAGGTTTCGGTTTGGGTGATGATACCCAGTCGTCACTGATTGAAGATTTTTCAGACATTGGGGATGATTTGTTCATATTTTCCTCGTCTTCGGATTTCTTTGATTCCAATTTTGATAATCGTGGACTTGATCTCACCGGTGATGAATCTCCCAAAGACCCTATAATAAAATTGTCAGTTAATTATTACAAGCATTATAGTTGTTTTATTAATATTTACGTTTGTAACTTCTTCTGCCTCTCGGAGACCTCACTACAATCTCATCGGATTCTTTTATTTCTTCACTGGTTTCAATTACATTTTCTTTTGGTATTTCTTTAACCTCATTTGTGCTAGGAGTTGTAACAACAGTTTCAATTTTTTTATCTTCTGCAGAATTATTAGGAGAGTAAAATACTTCATCGCTTACTTCGTCGTCTTCAACAGTCGACGCCACAGCGCTAATATCTTTGGAAGATAGAGACGATCTGAGGTGATTCAAGTCTCCAGAAGAAGTCGTCACATCATGTTGGTCGCTGAGTGATGAAGAGAAACGAGTGGTTTTGTCGAATTGGACGTGCTGGTGCTTGGATGTTTGAGAGATGGAGGCTCTAGGTTGTAGCCGCAAACCAGTACTCTAATAATAATAAATTGGATAAGTTAACTCGAAAAGATTAATTTTTCATACGTACATGGAACAAAGGATCCGTAAGAGCTTCATAATCATGGATTTCTTCTGAGAATGTGTTATCTGCAATGCTGTCTCGATTTTGAACAAGGTTTCTAACCTGTAGTAAAACAGCGATTTTAATATACCCATAACCTTATAAATAAAACTTACTTTTAGAATGCTTTGGGGAGTACCAAGACTAGTACGACTATTTTGAAGCGTGTTATCATGTTGTAGAGACAGTTTTCTTTTAACCATAGACATCCGCGTAATTTGTTGAGCGTTCGTTTTTAGCGGTGAATTCAATTCAGCCGTGGATAATCTGGGGCTCAGCCTCATTCTTTTACAAGGCGACGGTGCCGAAATATCGTCTACGTCGTTGTCGTCTATAATTTTTGGGGTTATAACTAAATTTGTTAATCTAAAAAGAAATACAATCAGTGATAGATAATAAATGCGTAGGAGAACGTTTACCGTCTGCCGTTTTTGGTGATGGTGGGCGTTCTTATAAACGGCGTTTCTTCGGTTATCGTTTTTTCGGTAAAACTGTTTGGGAAAGTATGCTTGGCTTTAGCCAACGCTGCGTGGATTAAAGTAGATTTATATTGAACCTGTTCCTGCGTATTATGGACAAATACCGACATCGGTGTAGGTCTTTGAACTAAAATGTATAACAACCGTACTCATTAGTTTTAGTCTAGAAGAATATAGTTATAGAAGAAAGAAGTGCAGTAATTTAATATACAGAACATAGTATAGATTCATGAGGTAGAAATGTTATTTTCACATCGTGCTTCAATGCTTATTTCTAATTCTTCTGAAATTTTTAACAGACTTGATTGAACCAATAAAAATTTTGATGAATTTACAAAACCAATAAGAGAGCACAGGATTTTTGACAGATTGATTATAAATAGTGGATTAACAAAATAATTATTGTCCATAAATCAATTAATCGAATTTCACAAAAACTTAATTGCTTGGCAAACCTGTGATATTTTTTTTTAAAAACATTCTAGTCAGTAATACAGTATTACCAAAAAAATCTAAAACGGAAACAAAATACAGTGTTCTATTTTAAAAATATACATTTTTATTTGCCAAGCAAAAACGCAACACCCTGTATATCCGAAAATATTTTTAAAATATGTCTTTTTTAAATTCATATAACTTTTATTTGAAACTTATTTGCGTGTCTATAGCACAAACTGAAATATCCAGCAACTACACATGATAATAATGAAACACCCTGTATATTTTGTGCCTTAATTTATTTTCAATTTTTTTGCGTTACTGTTAAGATAGTAATACATATATTATTTTTCTTTAATTTGTGTATTTATTTTATTTCTTATAATTAAAATATTCTAGGTCAAATTTGACTCCATATTTTATACAGTGTGTTCCATAAAGTTGGATACATATGAATTTTTTTTTAATATTACGAAAAACGCGTCGTAAGGCAATCACATATGCTTGTTAGAACCTACAAGTGAGTCATGTCGCATGTCATGCGACCACAAAATTTACCGTAGAAAAATTTTCCGACGTCAACTGATAAAAAAAATTTAAAAATTCGTTTATTTTAAAGTTTTTATAGGTTTCTAAAAAAAAGCGATATGTTTCGAGGGTTTTTTTTTAATTTCCGCTTGCCTCTGTCATAAAACAGATTTGGTGAAAAAGAACTTTACCTTAGAAAAATTTCATATTTTCCGATACCATCCTATAGAGAAATTTAAAAAAACGCATTTTAAATTTTTCAAAATTTTATAAAAAAATAGACAATTTTCCTGAGAAATGTGTTTGAGGTATTGAGAAAATGTCAGATTAGGAGGAACGTCGAGTATTATACTGAAATTTTAGTTTTTTCGGAAAATTTGTCGTAAAAGTCAAGATAGAAAAATTTATTATTTTTTTATTTACTCCAAACGAAAGGAAATTACTTGAAACAGTTGGTTCAACAGGAAAATTGGTGGAAAATCACTTTCTCGAAGAAAAAATTTAAAATTTTCCGACACTGTTCGACAAAGAAACGTTCATGTTTCTGTAAAAGTGAAATTCGATTCCCATAGAATTTCGTAACAGACAGACAGATACAGACAGACAGACAGACAGACAGACAGGCAGGCAGGCAGGCAGGCAGACAGATATAGACAGACAGATATAGACAGACAGACATAGACAGACAGACATAGACAGACAGACATAGACAGACAGACATAGACAGACAGACATAGACAGACAGACATAGACAGACAGACATAGACAGACAGACATAGACAGACAGACATAGACAGACAGACATAGACAGACAGACATAGACAGACAGACATAGACAGACAGACATAGACAGACAGACATAGACAGACAGACATAGACAGACAGACATAGACAGACAGACATAGACAGACAGACATAGACAGACAGACATAGACAGACAGACATAGACAGACAGACATAGACAGACAGACATAGACAGACAGACATAGACAGACATAGACAGACAGACATAGACAGACAGACATAGACAGACAGACATAGACAGACAGACATAGACAGACAGACATAGACAGACAGACATAGACAGACAGACATAGACAGACAGACATAGACAGACAGACATAGACAGACAGACATAGACAGACAGACATAGACAGACAGACATAGACAGACAGACATAGACAGACAGACATAGACAGACAGACAGACACACAGCAGGTATTGAGGTTTTTTACTAGCGAGTCATGTCGCATATCATGCGATCTACAAAGTTTTAATGAAAAATTTCAATTTTCCAGTACCATCCGACAAGGAAATTTTAAAAACACATTTTAAATTTTTCATGAATATCCGAAAGCCAAAAATTTTCATATTTTTTCTTATTTCCCCCTCTACTATCATAAAAACCCTATCATGTGATATATCAATCGACGCGTCTTGTCTATCCAAATATTTTTTTGAAGGTCTCTTTGCTCGATCTGCCCTTTTAAGCTATTTTTTTCCGGAAAAGCGTTCGACCGTTTGACCCAAAATTTGCCCTAATTCCTGGGAAATGTGTTTGAGTTAGCGGGAAAATTTTGATGCCAGATTGTGAAACGTCGAATAGTACATTAAAACTTTTAGTTTTTTTCTAAAAAACGTCGGGAAAATCAGAAAATTCGGTAAATAAAAAAATATATATTTTAATTTATCCAAACGAAAGGAAATTTCCAGAAACGTATAAATCCGATGCCGAAAAAAAGTTGGATTGGCCGTAAAATTAATGGAAAGAAAACTCTTTTTCAGTATATTACAAATTTTCCATCATTTGGTAGGGAAATTATAAAAACACATTTACCTTGAATTTTTTATAAATTTCTGAAAAAACGCGAAAATTTTACGTGATACCATCGGGCGTCTCGTCGATCCGGATAACTTTTCTTAAGGCCTTATTCTCTAATTCCTCTTTTAAGCAACATATTTCCCGGAAAAGCGTCAACCCAAATTTTCTCCAAACTACAGAAAATGTGTTTGAGCTATCGGGAAAATTTTGATGTCATATTGTGAAGAACGTCGAGTAGTATACTGGAATTTTTAGTTTTTTCGGAAAATTTGTCGGAAGTGGGAAAAGCGGAAGAAAATTTCTCGAAACAGATAAATTCGCTGTCAAAAAAAAGTTGGTCTAGCCGAAAAATTGATGGAAAACCACTTTCTCGAAGAAAAATTTAAAACTTTCCGGCGTAACTCGTTAGAGAAAAGTTCAATGTTTTTGTATTAGAGAAATTCGATGGGTTAATTCGGCCCTTACGGGTCCGAACAAACCCATCAAATTTCGTAACAGACCGACAGACGGACAACACGTAATTAGTTTTTTTTATTAATAATTAAGTCAAATAATTATTTAGTTACCAAGTAATTACCGATAAAACACAATGCTGGCGTCAGCCAACAGCTAAATCACACTACGACACTCAAGGCGACTCAAATCGTTCTGCCTGGAGGAGCGCCGACAGTCCTCTGCTACCGTACCTTCACCGCACTTCTACAATTTTTTTGTACCTGGCTAACAGCTAACATGCTTATTTAAAAACTGAAAATAGCCCATATTAAAGCTGGCTACTGACGTTAGTGTTCTGTAAAATTCGCTTTAAAAAAAATGTTTTTGAACAACTTAAAAAAATGAATTTGACAGATAACTAATGCATAGGGTTGCCAGATTTACGAAAGTGAAAAGCGTGACGACAGGGCATTAAGTTCGAATACCAAGAATTTTTATATAATCAGTTCCATTTTTTGTGAAATTTCTAAAAAGAAAATCCTCAGCTTGTATATTTCGTAAATGAGGATCCTCTAGCCCCCGAAATTTTTCTAAAAAAAAAAAAAGTCAGCTTATATTTTTATATAATTCCGGTTCCTTCTTTTTATTTACTGCTTTGAATATAAAAAAAGCGTAGTTTTTTGGTAAAAAGCGTAGCATTTTAGTCAAAAGCGGGACATTTTCGTACTTTGGCGTTGCGTGTACAAGCATGTCAAAAAGCGTGACAAATACGCCTAAAGCGTGACATCCGGCAACCCTACTAATGCAGTACCTAGCCAACTTTAATATGAACTGTTTTAAATTAAAAAAAAGGGTTAAATGGGCTACGTTTTTTTTCCAATCGTAATATTAAAAAAAAAATCTTACATGGAACCAACTTTACGGAACACACTGTACGTATATATATATATATATATATATATATATATATATATATATACTCGACCAGCGTATCATGTGACATCCAGCAAAAATTTTGACTTTGTGACATCCACCCTTTGCAAAGACTTTAGGAAAAAAATAAAAATATGACTTCTTTTAATTAAAAAAATATTATGGCTGAGCGAAAAATATCACAACCATACACATTTTAAAAAAATAAAACGTCCTATCGTTGTGAGATCCAAAGTATACACGGTATATATTTTTATTAACAACACTTTGTGACATCCAGAAAAACCTTGCATCTTGTGACATCCAGTTGTTACGTCACAGTATACCATTTCTACAGAAAAACTGCCATTCTTATAACATCCAGCAAATATATAGATACATTTTTAAATTAAGAATCTTATTACATCCAAAACATTTAACACGTTCAGCGCCAAAGCCGACCCTCAAATTCTACGATTTCTAATTGTTTTTTATTCCAATGTGATTTCTTTTGTTGTTTTGTATGTGATAAAATAATTCATTCCATTTTCAAATTATTTTCTTTTTAGTTTTCGATTGTGTATATTTTTAGATAAAATACTGTAGTTTTAACATTATTATTTGGACATGTAAAAGTAATTTAGTACTCGCCGGATATACAGGGGGAAAAAGAAAACAATTTTTTCCTCTACTTTTGACACACCGTGTAGGTTAATTCTGCTAGCAGATCTGCACACAATTAACTTTATCAAGAAGACTGATTTGTTTACAACATTTTGTTTTTTTATTTACCCCGATATCTTAATTTGTTTGTGAAATGTGACGGTTTAAAGAAAATGCAACAATCTTAATTTTTTTATTCAGTTTTAGCAAAGTAATACATAATTTTATAAATAACTCAAACAACAAATACACTAATAATTATTACAAATTAATAACGAGTATTTTCCCCACAAACGCGAATAACTGCCTCAATGCATCATGGCATACCC